TTATGTAAGTACACCTAGTAGGCTATACTTCATTAGTTTCAGGTTTACAGTTGTGATATCGTGAGATGTTATATTGTGACTTTATTTTAGGCCTATGTAAGGCAGTAATTAATTCTTTATGTTATTGTCATTAAGTTAAGCAATGAGTCACAAAACAAATAATCAAAACATTTCAGAGGTGGGGGCACCAAAAGCGTCTTTGCCCCCAAGTGCTGAGAACCTTTGCTACCCCACTGCCACAGTGGAGGTGTCAGAATGTACCGTAACAACCCATACCCCCATAGGGAGAGGAAGGAAGTTGGACAAAGCCCGATGAACTGCCAAAGGCTCAAGAATTGTGATATGGAGAGAAGAATGCCGAATTGTAGATTACAAGGAAAAAAGTGAGGTTTCTAGTATCACGAATAATAGGAAAAGGAGCCAAAGCAAAGCTCTACAAATGTGAAACAAACACACACGTCAGCAATGGGACAAAGCACTGACGGAAATTAGGATAATAAGGTACATAGTGAACAATTATGAAAAAAAATTATTCAGATAGAACAATGAAGTATATATTACTAGTAGTAATAATATGTATCGTACAAGCTATCTAAACCTACCTACTTAATGAAGTACTATTAAATATCAAATGGACAAACAATATAAATTGACCTAGTACACAAAGTATGTAATAATAAAGAATGTGCAAACCAATGAAAATTAAACAGAAAATACATTAAGAAGCAATATGTAACTTACAAATCCTTTAAATTAACCTAGATGACAAAGGACACATAATTAAGTCCTACACTGAAGAAAATTAGGATGACAAGGCACATAATTAGCAAGGGAACAAAAATTACACAAATAGAACAATGAATTAGATGTTATTAGTAGTAATGATGTGTAACTTACAATCTAAACATACCTAGTTAATGTACTTATTAATAACAAACTAACAAACCCTCAAAATTTGCCAAGTCTACAAAGTAATAATCAATATCTAACATACAATTCATCTAAAGTAACTTAGATGACAAAGGACACATAAATTTCTAACTTACCAAACACTGATGAAGTGAAATACTTAATTCTATGTGTGTAAATACAGGCAAAGCCACACAGAGGGTATCAGAGCTTCACCTACCATGAGCATATAAACTAGGTGTGAAGTGTACATCTTGAAAACTTACCATAGGTCCCCTGGGAGAACTGAAAGCAATAGAAAGAAAGGAGGAGAAGAGCAATTCACCACTAAAGTGAATGATGTGGTGGCATGGCAATTGGTGGAAGGTGAAAACTCCTGAAGAAGTGTAGTATGACAAACTAAAACAAGAAGACGCCAGAAAAAGGGAATTCAAATAGTTTTCTCTCTGATTGCATTCTTCCTCAGAAATAATGTCAGGTTGAATCTAGCTCCCTGCAACTTAAGGCCTGTACCTCCTCTGCTGATTAAGTCTAACCCAATTCCTGGGAATTCATTTACCAGTAGCATTTTTGACTGTGATGGAAAATTCCATAGTCGATACACTGAAAGCAAATTCATGTGAAGATCTCTTATAATTTGGTAACAAGAAAATAAATGCAAAGAAGTACGTTCATAAACAGGAGTCACCTGCGATAAACACACATCCAAACAATGCTGTGCCAATTGAGAAAGTGAGGATTGAGCAGGAATAGCAGAGGAAACTAGTTGTGCCAGTATATGTGGCACAATACAATTGGTGGAAAGTAGTCACATGGTATTTACATGTTCAAAAGTGATGTGAAATTGATGGGGTACATAGATTGGTGTGTTGATCGAGAAAATTCTTCAGCAATGCTTAGAGGGCAGAAGAAGATCAAGATAGCTTTCTGTGACAGGAGGTAATATTGTATCGGAATCATTAACTATAGAACATATTTAATCTGTAAAATTAAAATGATTAATAAAATCAATCAATATGAAATTGATTGACTCAAAATTATTGGACAAAAGGTATATATAAAAATGTGATTTTTGCTGACTTTTTTTTTAAAGAGGACAGGGACCTCTGATAAATAAAAATAAATAACAGAAACTTAAAAAAGAGTAAATCCAAAACTTTAATAAATGTTGTTATTGCTATGTCTCTTTCTATTCACAATACTTTTCAAGGGGGGGGGGGGTGATAAGTATTGCCCCAGTGATTATAGGCCTATTAGCCTTAGATCAGTTGTGGGAAAAGTTTTGGAAAGTCTGATAAAAGATGCTTTGCGAAGTCATTTAACAAAGTTTATAATTTATTGGATAGTCAATATGGTTTCACTAAGGGAAAATTTTGCCTTACAAATCTTTAGACATTACTTGAACAGGTAACTGCTTATGCAAATGAGGGTAAAGGTGTAGATTTAATGTATCTGGATTTTCTGAAAGCATTTGAAAAGATGCCATGTAAAATATTATCTCTATAGGTGTGGGGGATAAGTTAGCTAACTGGATAGAAGAGTGGCTGGATGAAAAAAAAGCAGACGGTTGTTACAAATGGAGTTCAGTTAAACTGGATTAATCTGACATGTGGGGTACCTCAAGGCTCATTTGTAGCACCCTTGCTCTTTTTGATTTACATCAACGACATAGATGAAGGAATGGTCAATAAATTACTGATGATATTAAGTTTTTGGATGTTGCTGGCTGTGATGATGCTATTGCTGCTTTACAAAAGGATTCAAATTATTGAGTGAGTTGGGTGAATAAATGGCAGATGGGTTTTAATTATAATAAATGCAAAATATTGCACATGGGTTACCATAATTTGAATTACAAGCACAATTTGGATTGGAATAACTTTAACAGTGTTATGAAAAAAAATGGATCTTTGTGTAGCAGTTGATCAGTCTCTTACGCTATCCAAGCAATGTGCTGTTGCTAGTGGTAGGGAAAATTGGATTTTAGGTTGTATCTACAGACATTTTGAATACAAGTCTATTTAGGTTAAAATTTCATTGTATAGGTCACTAGTTAGGCCACATCTGGTGTAATATGTTCAGTCTTGGGGTCCTTACCTTAAGAAGGACATTGAACTGTTGAAAAAGGTTCAGAGGAGGGTTACTAGAATGGTGCCTGGGATGGAAAAGTTGTCACACTAGGAGAGGTTGAGATCTCTCAAATTGTTTTCTCTGAAAAAGTAAGAGTTAGAGAGGATCTGATGAGATGTTTAAGATTGTAAAGGGAATTGATAGTGTTGATGCATCATCTTTTTTTTTCACCCTTAAGTACATCTGGATATTCAGTGTTGAAATCTTTCAAAGGCTTATTTCTGACCAATATAATAAATCTAGACTCAAAATGTCCCCAAATTAAAACTACAACAGCTTCAAAATTGTTATAATGTACATGTACAATTTATACTGTATAGTTTCTCTATAGAAAGTTCACAATAAAAGCTCACAAAATTTACATTTACATCTCGTCAAATTCAATTATTTATTACTTCCAATCAAGAACTGAAATTTATACTGTCCAGTTTCTTTATAAAAGTTCACAGAAAAAGCTCACAAAATTTATATTTACACCTCGTCAAATTCAATTATTTATTACTTCCAACAGCAAATTGAAATTTACACGCACAGGCATCAGAGAGAAACACTTTTAAGGCTCAAGAATACTGCATATAATATTCATTGAAAAACAGAAGACTGCAAGTTTGATAGGAAACCTACACATCTTACAATAAAAAGGTATAAGATAGGCTCAATGTATTTTGTAACTGTTACAATCTCTGGACTGCAGAACACTTTGCCAATAGAAATATAACAATGAATAATCTTTATATTTTGATGTTATGAGTTTTATTTTTCTAACAGGGTTGTTGGCCTTTAGAGCAGGTTGCCTTCGGATGTTATGGAGGCAGTAAATGCAAGTTTAAGAGAAAGCTTGATAAGTATTTGAATGATAAAGGGCTGGCTTTGAGGGTTTTCTTTTAATATTTTTCTACAGGATGGGACAGACTAGATCAGTGTTTCTTAACCTTCTTGCCCCACCTTGATACCTCAGAAAATTTCAACAATTTTGGTGTTGAAAAGGTATAATAATATAATGTAAAATTTACAAATTTACCAAAATTTCACATACAAATGAAAATTTTTTCTTATTATAGCATTTTCAAATTGCCCCCCAATATATTCAAATTGCCTCCCTGTAGGGCGTGTGCCTAGATCACTGGCCTAAATGGACCAGTAGGTCCTTTGTTGTCCCTAAACATTAAAATGTTCATCAGATAATGTTGAAAACAGTATATTTTCAGCATTTAAAAAGCTGAATGGTAACTAGGTAATCAATAACAGAAATGAGTGTATAAATCTTAATTTTGGGTAACTTGAGAAGTGATACAGAAAAAAGTTTACTCAACTAAAAACAAAATCTCAGAATTACTTTGAACAATCTGAAGCAAATTCTAACAAATACTTGCCTTATGTATGTAGAACATAATATAATATATTTCAGAATACATCTATTATTGAAGTTATTTGGGACTTTAATAGTGTTAGTAATAATTGTTTGTCTCAATAAAAGTTTCATTCATCCTATCAATGAAGTCTGATTGTGAAAATTGGATTTTTTACTGCTTTCTGTTTAGAACTGTGTAAAACTAGTTTCCCAATGAAATAAGCACTATCCGATAGTTGTCTATTAATTTTGCGTCAAAATAGCACCTTTTTCCATTTTCCCAAAAAATTGATATTTTCACCAAAAAGCCAAGGCTATAGCTCATGTTTTTTCCCAAATTTTGAAAAATATTGATTTTAAAATTGTTTAAAATATTATTTGGGACTTTAATAGTGTTAGTAATAATTGTTTGTCTCAATAAAAGTTTCATTCATCCTATTAATGAAGTCTGATTGTGAAAATTGTATTTTTTACTGCATTCTGTTTAGAACTGTGTAAAACTAGTGACCATTTATACATCTTATTTTCTTGTTATTATCTAGAGACAAAGCAACTTCTAATAATATTAAATTTTAAGTTCTACAAAGAACAGTTCAAAGAGAGAAACAAAAACAAGATCTTTTTATTGAAATTTACACACCTTCACTTGCTTGTGACAGACAGTCACACCTATCATTAAGCATAAGAATTCAGTTTCTCATTTAACACATATGTTAGGGCTCTTTCCTTTATCTTATTTTTCTTGAGTTTACATTCTTAATAGCTTTCAAATGCTAAGAGGCTAATATTTGTTATGATGTTTGTTTTCAAAATGACACCTGTTTGAATAGTAGTTATTTTCTTATTCGACCAAGCAAGTTTAAACTAAATTCTACATCTACTTTTGGCATCTTAACTCATAAATATGAGCAGACAAATGGACTTTATTTCTCTGCATATTGAAGAAAATACTGTACAAGGCAAATAATTATGAACTATCCAACTCAAGTAGTATTGTATTATAATAAATATAGATATGGAATGTAGCTTTGTGGGACTTGAGGCATTAAACTTTAGTATTCTGTTCAACTTAAAAACTATCAGATATTACAAAAGTTAAGGAGAAAACCAAGTACAGCAGAAATTTTTGTGAACAGCAAAAATGGAAACCTACTGTTTTTATACTATAGTTTTTTATTAAAAAAAGAAAAGCAATGATTTGTATACACTAAAAGACATAATCAATGATTTGTAATTTTATCCATTGACTCACCTTATTCCAAAGCTCTTTTTCTTGAGCTAGAGCAGAACATGCAGCAACAAACCAGCAATTTCCAAGCATGCCTTGCACAACATCACAGCTACTTGCTCCATCTACAAACAGCCTTGGATTTTCACACAAATCCTGCAAAAAATTACACAATTTTCATGCAAGCTATAAAAAATACCCTCATTTAATCCTTTAAAAGTTAAGAATAAAAGTAACATTACCTAATGTGCTTAAACTGAAATGTTCAACCTGTTCAAGTCATAAATATATGTTCGAAACAGTGTCAATGAAGACACATTACAAGTTTGTAGAAAAAAAGGTAATGTATCTGTGTTGTGTGCAGTTCAGATATCACCTATAAATAGTTTGAAAATAATCTGTTTAAAAAACATACTAAAAGTGTTCACCTTATAAGAAACAAACCTTCAAATGAAAAATATTTACAAGGAATTTGTTACAAAATATTGTTAGGAAAAAAGTACAATCTATTGTAAATTTCAGTTCGTTTATTTATCCATTGTTATTTATTCACACCACTACACTGATCTAACAACCATACATTATGCACATATTAATGGATTTGCAGTATTGTGCAATGCACTGTTCACACTTCAACAATTCCAATAGCCACATTCTATGTTACTGCTTTGAGTACTCACTTTAATGCAGTTTTTACAATTAAATGTAGAAAATCAAAATTGCTTTATAATGTATCTCAAGGATGTAGACTAAAATTCCCTCCATGCTGCTCTTTTAATCCTATTCATCATCATATAGTTTTAATGAAATCAAGATATTTTGTTTGTATTTTGCTTGATGTGACACAACAATGTCTATACTGTGGAGTTGTGGTTGGAAATGATTTGTCCCATTTTATGAAATTCACCATGTAGCAATTTGACTTGGATGCCATGCCATTTATCTTCAAAATCATGTACTAGCTGACAATGAGCCCTTTATGGTGGGAAAAGCAAGGAAAACATCATGCACAACCAATGCAATGTATAATACATTCAAATGTTACTATTTAATAAGTAAAAAAAAAGACAAATAAAAAATTCTAATGCTTTTATGCTTTGTGTAGAAATGTTAGAGGACTTTAATTTTCTCCAGGAACCTCACTTTCTCCAAGTGGTTAAAACCCAGGGAGTCAAAAAATTCAAGTACTAGTGCAAACCCTGCATGTAATCCACACTATTACATTGATCAGTGATGAGTTCAACAGCAACACACTATATTACTGGTTTTTCATAAACTGCATTTTGAAACTTAATCCTATTAGAGCTGAACAATTAGTGAATTTTGATCATCAGTTAATTAGCAGGCTTGTTAACTAATTATATCCTACTAATCAAGTATTCCAACATGAGATTTGGATAGTTGGAATAAGCAAAAAAATAGTAATAACCTGAAAGATTAATTTTGATTAGTTGATTATTTTCATGAGTTAGGGCACTAATCGATTAAGCTGAACAGCCTTGAATTAACTAAAAATAATAATGATAACTCATATTGGCAATGTATTGATTACTTGAATAGTAGGCACAATCTAAAACAATAATAATCAGAAATATTACTTCAGATAGTTTATTATTTTCAAGACATTATTCAATTTAATCAAAATCTTAATTAATTAATTATTTCATGTGACACTAATTTATGCTCAGAGGTAATCAATCAGTTTCTGATTTCAGAAAATCAAGTCAACAGTAAACATGGAACTTTTGCCTAAACAGACATAAAGGTTTATCACTGGAAGTACAAGGAAGCTAAGTCAAAATTAAACACAGAGACCTTTGCCTAAAAGATGCAAAAGTTTATCACTGAGGTTACTAAAATTCTAATCATTTTTTTTCTTTCAACACCACAAGTCATTAATACAAATTATTATCACCTTTGGTCTTTTCCATTCCACTCGTCCTGGAAGCTGTCCACAGTTACCTTTTAAAAACAGGGATGAGTCATCAGCTGGAAACGTTGGATCAGAAAAGGGTACACCAGTATCTTGTGCCTCCTTTTTCAATGTATCATATTTCTGGTTATTATAAGGTTTTACTGAATTCAAGAAGTCAAGGACCATGATGCCTTAGCTAAAATAAAAAAAAAATATCACAGTGATTAATAAAACAGATTATGACAACAAAATCATCAGGAGAAAATCTTAATTAAAGATTAAAAAATTGGATGATCATGAAACGAAAAAAAAAAAAGACTGGTGATAAAATATAACTTTCTGTATTTAAGCTATAACTGTACATCCAACAAATTAAATTTGCTTTAACATTTCTCCACTATAGGCTGGTAACATTTTGTGGATCTTATGCTCTATTTATTTTTACTATAATTTATTTTCCTTTTTTGCTCACTATGTTCTCTGAAAACTTCCTAAAAGTGTTGTTAATATTGGTTTTTTACTATATTTGTTGTACGTAGAATTTGCTGAAGGGAGAAAAAGACCATTTCAAAATGTTTTTCAACATTTCTGTGATCCTCCTTCATAAATAGTTGTAATATAAACAAGTTTTTGATGTATTTGTGTGCGTATTACAGAAATAATACTCAGTGGAAACAAAATCTATTCTGTAATATGTACATCTACATAAGTTTATAGGTGGGAAAGGAGGGGGTGTTAGTTTTTTTTAATATCACAAATTCAGATTTGTGCAATTTATCAGAAACCTTTATTGTTGTAAATTTAATTATACAACACAGGTTTATCATAAAATTATTCATAAAAATCTAAACATTATCAAACATGTAATGTAATACAAAAAATAGCTTTTCCAGTATTTACATTAAATGATAAGCAAGCTTCAACATAAGTATATCTGTACTAACAGTCTGGCAACAAAACAGTTTTGCCCACTTGCAGTTTTCACTGGGGCTCATAATCATACATGTACAATCAGCATACAAAAATAATAATGAAAAACTAAAATGGTAATAATTCAATTACTGCACAGTTAAAATAACTGAAAACAGTAACTATCAGACACACTAATTTTGATTAGTTGATTAATTTTGTGACATTAATCAATTTAATCACAATTTTGATTATTGAATAGTTAGAATAATTGAAAACTGTAATAATCAGAAATACTAGTTGATTATTTCACATGACTCTAACCAATATACAGTTAAACCTCATTAATCCAAATATGTTTGTAATGAACTAATTCATCTGGATTATCGAGACACCCAGCTTCTCAGATCAGTCACTTTCATTACAATGGATACTATTAACAGCATGAATTATTAATTGATAAATGTAAGTGTTCAAACAAGTAAGAATGGGCATGCAACAAGTAAACAACAAGCAACTGTAAGTACAATAAAAGTAATAGTTTATTATTCTATATGTCATCAATAATTATACAAGTTGCATTCCCAAAGTGACATTTCATTTTCTTCACATAAAATACTATTTTGTTCAAAGCAATGATTTACAGAATACAAAATACATAGCATTGGTTAATTATACAATGAATCATTTTCCAAAGAAGAATGTAATCACTGTCTACTTTTGAATTGAATTTTTTCTTTTGAAGTTTCTTAATAGCTTTAAGCAAATAACACAATATGCCATTATCTTCATACAAGTCACTGATTTGGTTGACTCATATGATGATACCTTTATGGCTAACTCATGATTTATTCATACTGACTGGTTTGACTAGTGGATCATTTTTAATGTCAAATTCATTTTCACCACAATCTTGAAGACACGCAATAGAAATGATGTCTTCTGATAAATATTGACCAACTGGTTCTGCTGAAAAGATGTTGAGCCACTGATCAACTGACATAGCATTATTGCTACTTGAGATTAAGGTATGAATTCCAGAAGCAATCTCATTAACAACTTCCGACATCTAAATAAGGTTCAACAATTTCAGTCTGTTCAGGCAGTGCACAATCTTGACATACCATGAAGCAGATTTTGACACTTTCCATTTATTAAAGCCTCATGGACATTTACTGATAGTATCAAGGCTTGCACTTGGTTTGCTTTCTTATATAAACAAACAACATGTTTTAATGATGCTGGTATTTCTGTGCATCTTTGTTTTGGTGCACTGTGACTTGGCATGACTACAGGTTAAATCACTCTAATGACCTCTTGATATTTGTTATAGTATATATGTACATCCCTAATGTGAAGATTATTCTCAAAAAACTGTTGTAAAGTAATACCCAATGCAAGGAAAATCATTCTCAGAAAAATTGTCATAAACCAGTACCCACTTGTTAGGGCAGGTGTTTTGTGGTTGGTAATTAACACCTTGTTTTCTGTTTCTGATCAACCCCTACTTGACTCTCATGGATTCATGTATGGATTATCAAATCATGAAGCCATACAAAATACATGTTTGTTATAAGAAATTGCTGTTTGGATTCAGAATGTCAATAAATGAATTACTGATTAAATTTCACACTGTGAAGATCTGTCTATGTGAAAAATCATACAGATTATCTATATGTGGACTAACAAGGGTTCATTGTAATTGATGCTCATCAGTAATAGATTATACTGATTGAGTTGAATTACCAGCTCTGTTAGTCACTAAGTCTATTAGATTTAGCATAATATATGAGAATTACATCAGCATATATTTACCCCTGCTAATAAAAATCTGTGTTGGTGTATTCTTAACATAGCCTTTACAGTGTAGTCTTATACGCTATTATCTAATGTTTGCTTCACATTCTAACATAAGAACTGGACTTTCAACTAGAATATCATTACATAGGTTGCTTACAAATGATGAAAAAACTCCCTAAATTACTGATATAGAAGTCAGAAACTTGAGGAATTATATGACATGTTAACAGTTAAACTGTAGCAAATCACTTTCTGCAAGTTTCACAGCTTTATTTCTGCCAGACATTTTAAACAATCACAATTTCAACTTAGTCTACTTGGGTTTTCAATTTGGTTCAAAAGAGGTATTTCACACCTACAAATACAGTACAAGGTATTTAGCACATTACAGTGGTTAAAAGTATTAGTACTACTACTATATATGACACTTTAATCTGCAAAACATCAGATTTTGATAAACCATGCATTACAAACAAGTTTTTTATTTTTTACAGCATTCCATCATTGTCAACAACAACTATGAGACCAATTTTTACAAGTCACATAGTAGTATTTTTTTTGTTTTTTTATAATGTTACTAACCTATTGAATTCAATAAATGGTAAAATTAACAGTTTAACAGTTTTCAAATTACCATGTAACTGTTCAAACATTTATGTATAAAACATACGATTCACATTTGGTGAAATTTAGTTCCTCTAGGACAAGTAGCTTTAAAATACAATCATTTTAAATGTGTAGTTTTCTTTGTACTCTTGTAAGTTATATTTTGAATATTATAATTTGTTGGTTAACTAGAGGGAGCTGTAGTCTTAATGATGACACTGAGTAGGCCTAGACTAAGTTGACATCAAGTTTTTCTCATGCACTTGAGACTAGATTATAAATATGAGTTAGTTGTGAAGCGTGCAGTTATTTCAAAATAGATAGTTCAATCAGCTAGTGTTATCATGAAGTGTTTGGATCTGCATTTGCTATTGCATTTGCCAAGTTACTTTGTACAAGTTAGCCCAATAGTATTGATAGAGAGATTTTAACATCATTTGTAATTAGGCCTACAATAATTTATGAAAGTGTATAAGTGAATTATTTTCACCAGCTAAAAGAGCCTACCAATGAAAGAACAACAATACACCAGCATATTTAATTTTCATGTCACCTTTTATAGTAAATATCTCAAACATGCACATAAATCTTGAACAAAACAGCATTATTTATTCACCAGACTGCATGAACTACACATAAATTACTGCATTTCTCAGTTTAATGGCCATTATGAAATGGTGTGAAGTATAACTCATCATTTTCATCTTGTTGCACACATTTTAAACAATGATAGTCTGATTATTTGAATATTTAATATGCATATTCACTAATTAAACATAAATTACACTAGAGTTGCACCATGAAAATAGGCAAACAGCTTGAAAGTGATAGGTTATCCTACTTGTCACATGATTTGCACTCTTAATAATTATAGGACTTCATTTTGGACTAATCTATGTCCAAATTTCGCTCTATCATAAAAGGCTTAGAAACTTCAATTAAGCAAAAACTGATGTACTTAATTTTCACTGTCTATAATGATAGTCTGTAAATAAAACTCAAACTTCTATATGATTAATAGCAAGACTTACTGTTCTGCTACAAGCCTTCTTCTCTTTCAATAATTTCACTTACTTGCATGCATGTATCTCTCATACAGAGCCGAGTGTTGATCCTGTATAATGAATGTCATGAATAACTTATCACACAGTGCAAAGATAACAAAAGTGAAATCTATGAAGAGATTATTGTATGAGGAGAGTTCCAAATAGTTGTTGCTGTTGTGTTTTGAACTAACAAGCTACAGTAGCAACCACAAATTTAGCACTTATATAAACATACCAAATGATCAACAGTGTTAGCTCAATATGAGATATAAGCAAACAGACAGAAGAAGTCCAATAAAACTACACTGTCTAAAATACCATTGAAACAACATGTGGATTTGATGTTTACAAATTTTGCAAACTTACATTTCATTTAATTAAATACATATCATGAGAAAAAAAATTAACAGAAAAATGAAAAGGTAATACCATTATTATTAAACACTGTCCAGAGTCAAAACAACTTTTCTGTTAATTAACATTTTTCAATAATTTTATAATATACATCAGTACTTTGCAGTTCTGCTAATAAAAATCTAAGTATGGTTTGTTAGGTCTATCAATTGTAAACAATGTCAAATGAAGCTATATATATTTTATAAATAAAAAAAACCATGATAAAAGTGTCCTGATAATAAAAAATGCATAATTACTGTATTTAATCTGGAATAGCTTGAATAATAATAAATTGCTGCTGCCAATGTTATTCTTCCACTTTCTCCTACATTTTTTTTGTCAATGACATCACAGTAATTAAATGTGATTGATCTTGGATGAAAGTTTTATGAACCATGCAGATACCTTAATGATCAGGACACATTACAAATAAAAAACAACAACAATTATTTCATACATACAGTATGTAGATTTTGCATTTGGGCTATTCTAGTGGTAAACCAATATCAGTGTAAGTGAAATCAGTGTGATGGAAGATGATCTCACATGTGTTGAGAATCACGGAAATATTAAATTAATCTGAATATTGCCCTTGACATTAATATTTCTAACACAATGCTACTGCATAGCTGCAGAAAACAGATTACTTTTTATATTTATTGATATTTATAATTTTTAAATCTCTTTTGGTGATTTTCTTTGCCCTTTCAAGCAGTTAATTAGAATGATAAGGCTTGTTGTAAACATTGCTTAACATAGTAGCATTGTCAGTGAAACCAAACTTGATATTCTCATGCAAAATGATTCAACTAAGCCTACTTTATCTTGTTCCATTAAAAACATTTCCTATCATACTGCAGCATCGTAATTCAAATAAAGTATAAATAAAATAAGCTTTGAAAAACATAATCAGGGCTGTAATTCTGGTGAAAATTGACCTTTTCTTCTTGCAATGTGTTATCACACCAAGCATTTATCACTTTGTTACAATCTCTATGTGAATCTCTGCTGAACTGGAAGCCAAACAGACTTACACAGTTGAAAAAAACAACTGAAAAGGAGCTTTCATTACATTTAAATCATTAGCTTATGACTTTTCAGAGCTGAGATATAGGCAATTACATCACACCATCACAACCAAGGTGGAAAAGCAGTGATTGGCTAAAATCAATAAAACTACACTTGTATTGAAGCTGCATTAGCAATATTTTGTTTAAAATTCTTTCACCTTTCCCCCTTGGTGGCTACAAGTGCTATATTATGCTCTGAAAAAAATAAGGAAATTCACAAACAGTAGTGGTTTTGTTTGAACCACATTGAAATCAATCAATTGAAGTCAAAATTTGCCGATCTTTTTATCTTTATGTATAAAATTAAATAAATAAACATTTCAACTTTAGTTAGTTTTTTTATGTGTAGAAGAACAAATACAAGTTTATTTTCTAGAATATTTATATTTCAATGGTGGAACTTGCTCTCAAGGTGGACATGTGTGGACATCCAGGCATGATAAAAAGTAAAGGCAGTTGGAAGTCAACAACTAAGGTATCTTCCTGCTGAAGAAACAGGAAATGTTTTAAAAAAAATTTGATTGACAACAAATGCAAAATTTAATTATTTTAAACTTCATACATGCTCATCTTTTTAGAAATTATCTTCTTATAAAAGAATTTTTATAGGTGAGTGTCAGGAACTTACTTTTTGATAGAAGTATTTTAATGAAGATATATGGGTGTGTTGGGCTAATGATTCTTCTACAGTAGGTGTCTGTGACTTGTTGGCGATAAATTCGACAATAAATGAACAACACGCTCTCCACTTGTTTTCAAAATAATATATATATATATATATATTTTAAACAAGTTAAATGCATGTACAAAAATTCTTTAAACTATGGAGATCATAGTTGTATCTTAAACACTATACAGTTTTCTTCTTGTCAAAAGTCCACTCAGGCCAATTCAGTTGATGAGCCAAACTATTTTTCTCTGTTTTTATCACAATAGTATAATTCACTTGTGCTATCAAGTGAGTTACCACAGTCATATTGTGAACTACCAGTAATCGTCTGTTTTTCGGACTTCCAATAATCTTCTGCCTTTTGTCAAAGTCCACACAGGTGAGTTTGATTAGTTTAGAACACCCTTTGACAAGACAGATTATTCTCCTTAACTCAAACTGTTAATCTCACTCTAACATATCAACCATTAGGCCTTTCACTCCCACAATGGTTAACTTTATGTTTTCTAACTTTTCTCTGACTGAACTTCTCTTTCACGTGACTTTACTTTTACTCTCTTTCTGCTCGTCTGGTCGAAGCTATTTATATGTCTATCACTTAGGCTTTCTAGAAATCTCCATAACCTCAACATCAATGGATTGCAAATACAATATTCGATAATTTTGACATCAATGAATTACAAACACAAAATAGATTAATTAATAATACTACCTACACAAAATAGTCTTTTATATCTGATAGTGAGGAACATGCTTACTTTGTTTTCTTAAATTACTTTTATAAGTTCTACCATATATCCTTTCTATTGCTTTATCATAAAGTATTGTTATAATGGTGTGTGATTAAGAAAAATTTATTTGAGAACTTTCTAAGTCTTTTGAATTTATTTCATTGATAGATGTCTAATGACTATTGTTTAATTACACATTGTTTCAAATGATTAATGAGAAAACTGGTATCTTTACTTAATATTGAATTATTATTAAATATAAAAATGAGAAATATAATCATGCATCTTGTTTTAATGCTTGGCAAGATATTCACAAGGAGACAGTAGATTTTTTTTTAAATGTTTGGAACCAAGAAAAATGACATCTTTATATGACTTAAATTCTCAGTTTTAATAAATCATTCAGAATGCCACAGATGGCATTCTGTAGAGGATAATAAGAGATAAGTAAAATTACATATTAGAAGAAAGAGAATGACTGCCAAACACATACTTATAAATCTCATTTCATTCCAAATGTTTGGGTCTTACATATTCACCACAAATATCCTATTAGTGATACACAATATCTAAATTTTTTAAAGTGTATTTCATTTTCTTTAAACCAAAAGAGCACTTTAGCAACAACTTTGTATCATCAAAATAATTTCTTCATCCAATGAAGAAAGAAAGCAACCAACCCAAACTACATTTTTATGCAAGACATTTTACATACTATATGAAAACACACATAAAAAAGTTATTCTGATTAACAATACATTCAGGTCTGATCATTTAAAGCAAAGTTATTATTCTTGATACTCAAGTTTTCATTTCTAACCTTATTATATTACTCAGTGAGACTTCAATTTCAAACACCTAAAATAAAGTAAAAATGTAGTTCACACTATTTGTACTAATCTGATCAAAAATTGAAATAATTCTGTTCATCACTTGCTAACAAATTTATGTATTATTTTTCATTATTTTTAAAATTGGAAAAGTTGATCATTCTTAATTCTTCCTATCTATACAAAATATTCTATTATTGTCTGAAGAATGATTTCTCAAGTATATGACCACTACAGATCTCTAAAACAGATTAAGTACAGTACTTCTACCAAACAAAAAAATTATTACCAAAGATTCCAACTATTTATTGAGAACATTGTAAACTTTTCAAAATAACTTAAAATAAATATTTAGTTTATTAGTATTATGTATGCTAATTCAATACAAAAGATTGTTTTTGTAACACTTAAGACTAATAAGAACTATAATTGTTTTTAAATTGTATATGAATATTTCATATAATTTGTGATAATGTTAGAACATAGGCCTACACATATAGTATTACTACTATGCCTGCAATAAGCTAAAAATTGTGATTTGGACCAACATTTATATCCTCTGACACTGACATTCAAAATATTATATAAGAAATTGACAGTCACAATGCAACAAATGTTAATCCAAGGAGCTCAGATGGAGGGGGAGTTCCAGGATCTCCTTCCAATGTAAAAAACAAAATTAAAGGAACAGTAAAATATTAAATAGAAATATGAAGTGGTAGAACTAGAAGTATATGTAACTGCTTTCTGGGATCCATTATGAATATGATCATATCCATATGTCAAAAGAGAGAGTCTCAAGTGTGTATGATGTTTCTACCAAGATATTTCAAAATCAATTTAAAGCCCACCATAGTTCTTTGAAGGAGCCCTTTTCACTGGTATGACTATCAATCATTCCATCACTCAGTTAACAATGCTTGATATAACGTAATTCTACTTCTTCTTCTGGGGTCCCTTCAAGATTCAGAATCTAAGAGTAAGAGTCAGCTCTGCAAATGAAGAATAATAAGATGTTCTCGATGGTGGCAGAAAGTATTGGTCATTCAAATTTCTTATTACTACTACTAGTCTGTCACCAGGACTTAGTTTGGAGTAACAAACTAATCGACAAAAATAAAAATAAATTGGAAAGTTTTAGGAATTGGACTTAGAAGTTAGAGAGATTTCAAATTTCAAAAAGTCTTCAGCTTCTCAAAGCAGGGCATGTCCTCTCTCAGATTCTCAGATATCCATTCATTTGGACCCCCCCTCCTTTTTGAAAATCCTAGATACGCCCCTGGAGTTATTCAACTGACAGTAAGTGAGTAACACAATGTATCAGTCACAGTGTCAACTCGTCCCCTTGGGTTTAATTACTAATAATAATATATACATGTTATTTTATTAATCAAAATGAGACTTTATAATATTAATGCTTGTTAGTTACAAACAAATATTTTCAAAACTTAATTACCCTGAGTTGTCAACACCCTCTTCTTACGAACAGGTTTATTATATTTTTAAGGCCTACGAATTTATGAACTTAAAAACCACACCCAATACAACTAACGTATTTCTCTAAAACACGCGGTTCAGCTTCGTTGAAGAAAACAAGCTATGATACCCCACATGTGTCGTATTATATTTCACGTTACAGCGTTCTCGTGTAATGCCAATTACAACCGTATATCTGTAAACATCTATTTGAACTTGATGATGATCTCAAATAATTAATATACTCTAAAACTAGAAAAGCAATTAAAAAAAAAAAACAGCTAAACTTAGACAAATAATTACGATAAAATTATTTCATCAATATAAATATACGATTGATTTTGATCAATGCGATGATTATTTGTAAAAAATTGTAATTTCGTACTAATTATGTAAATAAACCCAGTGGCACAGTGGTAACTCAGAAGGATTAGATTGCTAAAATTTGGGTTTCGATACCCGTGGTGGGCAAAACATAAATAGCACATTGTGTAACTTTGTGCTTAAAAGCAACCAAACCAAGCTATCTAACTAAAAAATAAATACCGTGGTGTTCACAGATAATCTATTGCGTCACATTGCGATTAACAACAAATAAAATAAATTAATAAACTGTGTAAAATTAACAAAGGAAAAAGGGTATTGTGGAAAACCATTTTTTGATATTTTAATTTAGATGTTTGTTTGACGCAATAAATAAACTGTTTAAAATTGATAGAGGAGACAAGGTATTGTTACGCCTCTGTGTTCGTTTGTAAATTTTCTGTAAAAATTCTTTCCGAAGAAACTTTAGCGATACAAGTATTTTCTTAAATAGAACTAGTTTATTCTTTCTCAATACAACTATGCAATACACTTAATTTCCACAGTCACGCTATAACTTAAACAAACACTATAATTCACAACGAACGACCCATGCTCTTGACTCAATTGTCCGTCTCTTTCTCTGTCTGCAATTCGATTCCATTGATTCTTCTCACGTTAACCGGTGCACTTATATACAGGAATAGAGGGCGCCTAACACATACTGGATTATTCGTGATGTTCCCCGATCCTTCGAGAATATCATGACGTGTTACCATGGTCACGTGACTACTGCTGTCTTAATACTGCCCATTCCTTAGTATTATTCGTTCCGAACAATAGCCACTACATTAAACCAATAGAAAATTAACAATAACTTAATTAAATGTACACGAATTTCCAAACACTACAAACACAAAAATTAAAATT